GGCACCTTTTTTTTGGGGGGGGGGGGTGTACCCACACTAATCAGCACCCAACATCAGTGGGATCGTTATTGCCAAGTTATTCAGGCTCTACAGTACAGAATGTAGGGTTTGGCTTTCGTGAAACCCTAAACCCGACACCTTACTCCCATGGTTGAGGACTCCCTAAACCACCCGAGGACCTAGACTTCCTAACCTTCCCAAACCCTGAACCCTAAACCCCATCCTAAACCCTGAGCCCCCTAAATCCTAAAGCCTACGCCCTGAATCCTTACAACGGCCTCAATTTCTGCACGCAAGGCCGTGACATCTCTGTCCGCCATGGCGGCACGATGTGCGAAGTTCCCGACGGCGGAGAGAGCCCTACCTGCTTGAACCTTGAGATGCCTCCAGGGTTTAGGGTTTAGGGTTTAGGGCCCCCAAAAAGTTCGGCTCCACTACTACGCATGTCCCCTGCTGTGTCCGGGCTACTTTATAGATTGCGCGAGTGATGGCGTAGGGGGCGTGAAGAATACTTGCAGCACATGATCCTATTTAACTAGGGTTATTTGGCGGGAGCTGTCTAACAGGACCACCCGTCTGCAAACTAGTAAAATGCCTTGTAAAATCATCTCTTGGATGATCTAAGTCTATTTATTATCTCCGAACTCTTAGTACTGTATAAGCCCCATAACCCTAAACCCTGAGCCCTAAAATGCCCCATAACCCCTGACTAAGCAGACTTACCCAGTCAAGAGAGCTTCCATGCCGACCCTATAGGTTAAAGGTTTAGGGTTTAGGGCACTATAGACCACTGCACAATCCCAGTTTCCATGTAATGCTCCATGTTCTTTTCCATTTGATTCTCCACTATTGGGGGGGAGGGGGGGGGTATATATCCCTAAACCCTAAACTAGTAACTAGGATGACAAGTAGATCCCATTGTCCATTATTGCCTTGATATATATATATATATCTATCTATCCCTAAACCCCCAAACCTTACGCTTTGACGGAGTCCTTCTTCTAAGGGCTGTCTCCTATTAGGGAAGCCTGAGAATCTACCCCAGAATGGCGTAAAGCACCCACCACTCAGATTCCGCAAAAGGTGTAGGGTTTAGGGCGCTCAAACTTCCCAAACTTCAGCCTCAAACCTCTAACTCTGAGTTTGGGGGTTTTGGGGGGCTTCCTTCATTTCCCTTCCTTGCTGGCTGTTAGTCGGAGATGGAGGAAGGGATCCCTGCATTCCCCCAAAGTACCATAATGCGAACTTTTCCATGGTCTCATTAGAACCCAAGTTTCAACTCTGCCATGTCCTAGATCCTAAATCCAAGCCCTGACTAATTCGAATATATACATATACAGAGAATTAACTCAGCTGTGGACCCCAATAGCAGGCTGGCATTGTTTTTCATTTTTTCACTAGTTTCGTTAATCACCGATCATCACAAGAATACCAAGCCAGGAGACATCA